CGACTTTTTCCAACTTGGGCACAAGAACAAACCCAGTCTCATCCATGTTCCAAATTTGCATAGCAGTAAGTGAATGTTCATTAATTACTTGTTTTAGTTTATCAAAATGGTTTTTAACAATAACTGCATTTGCTCTTTGTGCCTGAGCTTCGGACAATTCTTGGGGAACATGAAAAGAAAGTTTGGGATGATCTTTCATAAAACAGCGCCACCAATCTCGACCTGGCCCATTATCACCAAATGGATGTGGTCTTTTATTGCATCGCATTATTTCCATTACACAATGGTTGACACCAGATCGAGTAAGACCAAACCCAAGCTTTTGCATGTTAATGCAATATCCAACGAGTTGGCTTTCCTCATGTTCAGTTAGAATAGTAGGTGGGCCCTGACGTTTAGGAGGGCTATCATTTTTAATAGCACGATGTAAAGTGATTCTAGGAATATCATAGTCTCTTGCTATGCTGCTTATACTGGGATGTTTAACATTAGGAGGATAATTTTTATACTCATTAAGTGCTGCGAGAATTGTTTTATTTCGATTATCTTTGAGCTCACGTTGGTTATTATCAGAAACCTTAAGCATTTTGTAACTTTTTAATAAAGAAATAAAATAACACGCAAATAATTAATTGGCATAAATTAGCACTAGTTAGACTTTTAATGATTAAATTTGCAAATATAAAAAACCACATCGTAACTTGCAATTGCTATAGTTGACGAAGTAATGAAACGTGATTATGTAATTTGACAGTATGAATATTGAAAGTGTCAATCAAGAATTAAAAAAAAAAGTCCAAGAACTTTTTTTTGTTACAGGTATGATAGATAATAATATAGTGCAGGCTTCAAAAAAAGAAGCAGTACAAGATCTTAATTACAGAATTAATATTAGATAATTTAGCTTTTAAATAACATGTAAAAATTATTTTTGTTTATTTGTTGTTACTGCGTCAAATTTATTTGTGTACTGCTAATCGAATTTTTAAATTGCGACAGATACTTTATAATTCAAGTTTATTTTTCTATGTTTATTAATGTACATTTGTTTACATTCATATAGTTAAAAAAGTACGCTTGCTGGCAAAACTTGATACCTGAAATTTAAAATTTGTAATTTCGCCGCAAGCATAAAGACGGATCACTATTATAATTTATTTCTTTTAAGAGTCTAATAATAAATTATTTGAATTTCACAAAGATATGAGAATATGTAAATTTTATCATGAATAAAAATTTTTTTAATGTATAAACGTCAATTAACTTTGTACAGAAACTGTGCTTTTGTCATATTACGATTATCTTATATTAAAACTCAAAATAAAGAAGTTTTGCAATTTGTTTAAATAACAATATCTCATGATATAATAGTCAGAATCAGATGAATTTTATA